CTGGCTGTAACTCAGAGATGTGCTGTGACAGCATCACTATAAGGACAAAATCAGATGTTTGCCCTTGTGCGTGTCATGGTTTCTCATGGACTGGAGGACCAGAGGGAGACTCATCAAAAATCAATGAAGTGGGTCAGCCCCTCTGCTTACGTGACTGTGAGCAGCTTGTGCCATTAAGGGCAGCATGTCCAGCTCCTGTGGGATTGGGAGACTGTCCTTTTAGTAGATTAGTAGAAGGGCCCTTGCTGCCAGTTTCCTGCCCCAGTGTGTATGTACATCCTTATCCCCTGTGCTCAGACGGAGGACGCAGGCAGGTTAGCAGCGTCAGCACTGAGCGCTGTCGTAGTTATGTACCTACTAGGTTAGTAAATAAAGTAACCTAAACCCTGGCTCAGGCAGTGCTGAACGCAGAAGATGGGGGAGAGGCTTGGCTCTGTATAGCACCATCTCCCCCACACACCACCTGGCATTCTGGGGAAATGGTGGAGTGGGGATGTGGTGCTATTTTAGGGGAATTCCTTCTGTGCCATCCTTGTGTGGGTTCCCTGCTCTGACTGCAGTTGTGTACGCAGAGAAGAGGCGAGGGCTGGAGAAGCACATTCCTACATATGTGTCTGGGGGAGCAAAAATAGAGGACAGTAGAAATATCAAGGGAGTTATTACTGTGTTCAGTTATTACACACTGAGTCAGTGCTCCAGGGGATGCCTGCTTTCTCTGCAGACACAGAGAACATGCAAGATGATGTTGTTCTCAGGAGTGCAAGGCTACACGTTCCTGTCTGCTTTGCAGGGAGCTTCCTTGGGACCATGTTAGTTTTTCTGACACTGTTACGGTCAACTGACCCTCTTCATCTCCACAGCCTGCTTTGTGTTCATCTATTACAGAAGATCTCTTGCTGTCCCAAGCAAGCAGTGTTGCAGAGAGTGTGATAGGTGTATTTAAGACTATCCTGACTCATGTAAGAACTTCAGAACTGCACCCCAAGATGTATGTTTGTGTACTGTGATTATACAATAAGCCTTGCTTCTGCATACTCGAGTGTGGCTGGCAGACTTGCTTAACCTCACTTCTGTAAATCCAAAGTGTGTGAGAATTGACAAGGTTTATTAATAATACACAGCAGCCATGCTCATTAACCAGCTGGAGACATTGCAGCAGTGATGGCAAAACAAAGCAGCTTGAAGGTTTCATTTGCAACATCTTCTTTCCCAACATGTCCTAAGGACAGGCAGAGGTGACAGGTTGTGCCACTTCCTCCAGGAGTTTCCTGTTGGGATTTGATTTTTATTGCTTATTTATTGGGGTGGTAACAGACCACTTAGTGAATGGAAATTTTCCTGTCCTTTCTCATTCTGTCCTTCCCTCTGGGAGCTGCCTCTCATCTAAGCAAGACAGGATTTCTCTGTTAGGATGGGGACAATAGTTGTTTCAAAGCCTTGAGGAATGGTATCCTATTGGGGAAGTGGGGGGGGGCACCCAGAGCCCCTTGCGGAAGCTAAAAGGCTCATGGGGTGCAAATAGGCCTTGCTTGTTTCCTGGTTTTTACCACCCAACAGGTACAACTACATGAAGACCTAACTTGCAGTAAAGTTTCGGTCTTGGAATTTAAGCACCTTGTTTTTGAAGTATGTTCTTTTTGTGCTAGAAATGTCAACACGCCTCTTCTCTCCTGCTGTGCTGCAACTTTGCATTGCTTTTCCATCCTGAATGGGAGAAGTTGTAATACAAAATATGCCTGGTGTACTGACCTGCCAACCCAAAACTCAATGCATCTCATCCCACCAATTTGACTTGAGGGCTTCTGTCAGTGATGCACGTTGCTAGGATTAATGAGTCTGTAATCATTCTTCTTCTAGGTGTAAGCACAGTTCCAGTGGAAAAAGACCATGTTGAAGAAATGGTGAGTAGCTGTATGTCAAAGCACATTTCAGAAAATGTCACATGCTCTCCATGGTTTGACTTTAAATGCTCAGGGTAATGTGTTTTTTTTCCATAAGGGTAAACTCTTATGAGATGATCAGTGATGCAGAACTTGGAGTCCCTTTAGCTGTCAGAAGATACCTGTGTGCACTTCAGTGCATTTGATTAAAACGGAAGCTGGCTTCTTGGGTTACTGTGGCACTTTGGAAACTATGTTGTACAGTTGCCCAAAAAATTATCTGAAATATTATTTGACAGTACATGTTACTGGACTGTAAAAAGTGAGATGGAAACTTTGAAGAAAGATTAAGTATTTACAGTTACCGACTATGTAATGGACTTTCTAATGCAGTCCTCCCGTTTTCTGCTTTGGAAAGAGATTTTTAACCTATTGGCTTAAATAAATGCCATTGGCTGCTCTCAGCATCTGTAACCTGACATCATACCCTCTCCAGTTGCTGATTGTGTGAACATTTAGGTTAATAAACACTTGGTAATAACTGCAAAACATTTAAAAGACAAACAGCTGTATAAATGTTTTATTGTCTGCTCCCATCCAGATTGTCATCCTGAGACTCGTACCCCTGGTGATCTGAGCATTTGCTCACAACCAACAGCTTCAACACTTGAAAATCATTTGTGTGAATTTGTACAGAAGAGCTACTTTCCTAGCACTTAGGATTAGAGGAGGTCGTGTGACTTTCCTAAATCAATGAATTTCCTTTTTCTCCAGAAGACTATCCAGTTTAATGTTAAGAGCTAAGAGAAGCAGGGCTTGCAGCAAACTTACACAAAAAAATGTGGAGCACGTCACTTATAGAGGATATAAAGGTGTTTTTTGTTTGTTGGCAATCCAGGCAGTACTTCTGTTAACACCTTTGCAGCATCCTCCTGTTTGAACATGCTTCTCATGTTTAGAACAGTGTTGTGTTTGTTATTTTTTTGTAGGTGCTGTTACCACATGTTGTTTCACTCTTCTTTGCACTGAATAGGCTATTAAATATTTAAAAATGTACAAAAGGAGCCTGTTACCTATGCAAGCAGGAGGGGAGATAAAAAGAACTAATGACTTTCTTCTTCTTACTGTTACGGGAGTGAGGAGCAAAGCCCTTGTTGCCCAAATGCACAGGAAGTTGTGGTAGAGCTGGGGATTACTCAAAACTCATTAATATTAGCCTAAACTCTAATCCTAAACTAGCTTTCCTCACTAACTGTGTCAGAAGTAGGATTTCCAGTTTTGCCATGTTCTCCTCTTTTGTTTCTTGTAGGTAACACGGTGCATAGTGGAAGTCCTGTCCAATGCTCTCTCTAAGCCAAATGCACCACCAATTAATCCTGAGTGCAAAGAAATCCTGAAGAAGAGTAAGTACAGCATGTTCTGCACTTGTGAAGGGACTTTGTTAGGTGGATTATCTCATTTTGGAGCTGGTGAACTGTTATTTCGGCCTGTGTGAAAACAGTGTTTCCAAATTTTAGTCTCAAAGTTCTGGTTTCCTTCTGCATAGTCTGTCTTGCTCAAAGAGCAAACAGCCTGACCTGGTAACTCTCAGGGATTCCTGGTTAACACATGTGGCGCCCTGCTTTAGCCACCTGGAGAATCTGGGGAAACTTAGACAAGCTCTTCAGGTAGCCTGAGAAGTCAACAAACGTGACCAGGTTTGGACCACATGCTGAATGCATCCCAGAGGGTTATATGAACTGGCTTCAAATCACCACTACTTAAATCAACAAAGCTTCTATGCCTGGTGGCAACTGAATCCACGCCGAGCTCGGGAGAGGGAAATCTTGCTCAGCCCAGGAACGATTAAGTTTGTGGTGCTGATTCCAGAGGTCTGGAGATGTGTGCTGAAAGCTCCCTGTGGGAGTGCTCATTTCAGATGAGCTCATTCCTCCAGCATGCTGCTTTGCTGCCTCCATGTTGAGGTGGAAGCCTGCTCAAATGCTTCATTACTATCTGTAGTGAAGTGTGGTTAAGTTTGGTGCTGTGCCAGGCTGCAGAACCCACATCCTTCCTTTCTGCTCAGTTGTATTTATTCTGTTACAGAACAATAAAAAGGGTCTTGAACTTACCTGACAGCAAGAAGCAGTAATGAAACCTGTCTGTCTCCTGCTCTGTAGAGGGAATGATGCATGGCCCTAATACAATAATCAGGAGAGGATGGGTTTTGGGCTTTGGAAAGACATGTATGTAGCTCAGTCCCAAATGTATAGGAGGTGCTGAATGCTATCAGCCATCAAACTTTTTTTTATTACATTGTTAGTTTCAGGAAAAATCTTGTGTATTTTCCAGGTTTTGGAAAATAAAAGAACACTTACTGGAAAGAGGGTATGGACCATATTTCTGTCATTAGACAGATTTCCTCCAGAATGTTGGATAAGGGGAAGCTTTTCAGAATGAATGAGCTATTTTTAAATCTGTGCAGCTATTGTCTGAAAACTCCTAGGATTTGTGATTATTTCTGATGTTACTCCAAGACAAGTGAAGCAGAAATATCTTGACACAAATACACTGTTTCTATTGTGGGCAGAATCAGACTTTAATTTGGCATTTTGGAAATTATGGAAGGAGCATGATTTGATTAAATATAACTATTGCAAGGAGCATGATTTGATTAAATATAACTATTGCAAAACAATAGCTTTTTTTTCAGTCAATTTAGAACTTTTAAAATCTGCTAAAAGCCCCAGATATTTTTGAGTAGTTTGAAATTGATGGTTGTCTTTTTTGTGAATAAGCATATATGATGGATAAAGCCTGGCATTCAAAGAACTGAATAGAGCTCCACATCCCAGTGATTTTAGTGGGAATGAGAGTTAAGCTTGTGATCACAAAGAAAGAAAGAAACTAAAGAGGAAAAATTATTCTGGAAATTTCAGTGGAACTTTAAAAATGCCTAATTAGTTCATGTTTTTTTCAGGCAAACATACAAAATACTAGGAAATGACTAATTTTAAAAGTAAAATTATAAAATCTGTCCAAATCTTCTTGCCACTTTGGGAAGACTGTTATCTACTTAAACTGAAATAATGCTTCATTGGCAAGTTGGATTACTTCATTATGCTGCTTTTGTTATTGTAGGTGGGAAAAATGACAGAGAGAGAAGTGACAACAAACCACTTGAAGTGAGGCATTTGAAAGACCCAGCAGAAATCGAAAAGCATCATACTGGGAGTGTGGAGAAAGAACACAGTCAAGCAGAAGAGGAATCTAAAAAGTACATGAAAGGAGATGATGAGGAGAAACTTGCTCGTGAGGAAGGTAAAAGTGAGGAGGAGGATGGACACCACACACCTATTCAAGAGGAGAGACTTCATACAGAAGAAAAGAAAAACTATCAAGAAATTAGAGGCGAGGAGAAGAGCTACCACAGTGAAGAAGCAAGCAAAGAGAGCAAGCTCCATGATGAAGAGGTAGAACATGCTCTTCTCCACAAGAAGCCTCACTCTGGAGGCATGAGCACAGAGGAGTTCCCTGATGGGAATGATCAGCACTCCGTGGGGCTCTGGCATTCGGAGGAGGGCATACAGAGCCCTTACAAAAGAATTCATGAAGGTGAAGAGGGAGAGGCAGAGGAAGAAAGAAGTGAAAAATATCACCATGAGTCTAAGGAACGTGATTTCTCCCATCAGCAAGAGCATGAAGAATCTGATGAAAGTGAAGAGACAGAAGAGGAAAAGCAACCCTACAGACCCAAACGTTACCATGGGAAGCAGAGAGTGAGTGACTCCTCTGAAGAGAAGAGGGGCCATGGTGGTGAGAAGAAGGAACTAGCTGAGGAATCTAACACAGAGCAAGCCTATCTCTGGGACAAAAGGAATTACCATCAAAAACACAATGAAGAGTTTGAGCAGCAGCATAAGGAGCAGAGTGGTTATCATGGGAGGCATGGGTCTGAAGAGGTGGAGGAGAAGAGGCGTGCAGGCCAGGGAGGTGAGGAGTACAGAGAAAGGTGGCATCAGAGTGAGGAGAGCAGTGAAGAAGAAGACAAGAGGCATGGCCACAGTGAAGAGAGTAATGAGAAATGGCGCGAGGAGAGGAGGCACCATTCGGAAGGAAGGACATATCTTGGAGATGAGAGTGAGGAAGAGCTGGACAGGTATCTCAGCAGTAGCAGCAAGGACAAGCAGCTTCGTGCTGGATACCGCTTGTGGGATGATGAAGATGAAGGGTCACAGAAAGCGTATGCTCGAGAGCGCAAAGGGCAGGCCAGAAGACACTACTACAGCACAGAGGACAGCGTAGAGCAGCAGCACTACCCTGGCAACAGTGAGGAGGAGGAGGAGGAAGTGGAAAAGAAGCTTCACAGCAGTGATCAGTTGGAAAATGAGGAGGAGAATATGGAGGAGGGAAGATATGCAGAGAGGGAAGAGTACAGAAGCCGTCTCCCTGTGGAGAAAAGAACCATGGCATCCTACAGCCCTTTCTACCCACTGCTGTGGTGGAAAAGCCAGCACCTTGAGAAAAGGGACAGTGCCAGAGAGCAGCTTCTGGAGGGCAAAGAGGAAGGCAGGCCCACCCTGAACGAGAAGAGTCTTTTCCCTGAATATGATGACTATGACTGGTGGGAGAAAAAGCAGCTCCTAAGTGCTCTGAACCACAGACGCACTGACAAGAGGAATCTTGGCAAAATGAATAGATATGATACAAAAAAGCAATATAACAAGATGGATGAACTTGCACAGCTTCTGAGTTACAGGAAAAAATCAGACGAATTCCCAGAGTTGTACAATTCTGGAGAAGATGTGAAAAAACGTCACGTCCTCAGGAATGACAGAGGAAGTCTGAGCCAGAGGCCTCTGACAGAAGAGGAGGTATGTGTATCTCCTTGAAAAGCAAGGGGAAGCTGATATTACATGCATATTTCTGAATCCATTTCCAGGGCATCTGGTAAACTGTTCAGGGAAAAACTTAAGATTGTTACATGGAGAGACAGATCTTCAGTGATTTAACAGTCTGGTTTCTTTGAATTAATTTAGTGGAACTACCGCAGGGCACGGTTTGTAAAATAAAGACAATGTTCATCCTTGTTAGCCTCTGTCTGCTGCAAGACAAGAAGAGAAAGGAGATTTTCTTTCTCTTTGGGCCCTACCTCTCCCTCTAGGGTCTTACAGACTAATAAAGATGAGTCTCCACCCATCAGCGAGATGTTCCTCATGTATGTCAGTGTATCTGTTGCACAAAGCTGGGCTGGTAGCAGTGGAGGCTTCATAGTAATTTATATAGAGGTTAAATGGCATTAGCAAGTCATCATCATGAACGAGAATTGGCTGCATATGTTTTTTCCCCCTAGCAGCTGGTAAGGTGGAGTGTACTTGTTGTACACTGTGCTTTCTGTGTATTGTAAGCCAGGACCATTGTGATGACAAGGTTGTAGCCTCTGAATGGACTGTCACCTGGGCAGAAGTGACTGCAAGCTGCATGGAGCAGCAGCTGTGAGGTGGGATGTTACTAGTAGGTAATGGTGCTTCAGAGCTAAAAAGATCAAGCTGTGGTTAGGTCCAGCCCTCAGAATGAATATTTTGGTACTTTCCCCAGCCCTAACTTGGTTAAAAGCAGAATATTGCACAAATCTCCCAAGTGTGTGCTGCACTGCTACTAACACACCACCCCAACCCTCAGCAAGCTGCCCAGAGACTAGTAAGTATCAGGATATGTCTGTCTCAGAAACTACTGTTGTCTCTCACTTTTCTGGAACAAAACATTTGCAGAGTTCTTTGTGTAAAACACTCCTCATATTTTCACAGGAAAAAGAACTGGAAAACCTGGCCACTATGGATTTGGAGCTGCAGAAAATAGCTGAGAAGTTTAATGACAACAGAAGAGGCTGAAGATTATCTGCTTTGGCGTTTCAAAGCTAGATGTAGCTGTACTCACAATACCTGTTTTTTGTGGTAAATTCACTGCCACTTGGATTGTTGTTTGCCCTAAAACCAGGAAATACTATTTACTGTCCACTATAGTGTAGTGATTTATACAGCTGAAAATGTCTTTCATTTGCTATTATGCTATTGAGATATGAAATAGCATGAATTTTAGTATTACAACTTTTCATGCAAGGCAGATATTTTTAATATGCTTGTGAAAACAATGGTGTTAGTGTTCTTCAGAAATATATTTGTCTGAGTTTAAAATAATAAAAATCATTGATCTTAGACCAAACTTTCTCCTTGCTTACTTGGGTTATGTCAAAGTAAGCTGTATCAGCTGGATAGGAGCCTTGTGGTTCACCAGTATTGTGTTGGGTTTTTTTAAGTTACAAGGAGCATATCTGTGCCTTTTATTTGCTATTTAGCAAGAGCATGAGGTGAGAGAATCCCAAATAATTTGCTCCAGTAACTCAGAAATGTCCTGTGAATTATTTAGTTCTGGAAATTGGTCTTTAAGGAGCAAAGACGTTGCAACACCAAATGGATGCTTGCTAGTTTGGAAGGCACATGTTGCTTCAGAATCAATGCATTACATAGTGGATTGGTTTTCCTACTCGTTTGGTCTCAGTGGCCCCATTAATTTAATCACCTAACGAACGTGCTTTGCTAATGTGTTCTTTCCACCTATTTCAGGCAAGCAGGTCATGGTGGGAGTCTGTGCTCTGTGCTGGAGCAGGGCCCACCTTGCACAGGGCAAGTTCCTTGGCAGCCAGTGAGTGGTGGCAGGATGGGCTCTGGGGAATGAATGGAATGATGCCTTGTGAGGAGGGTGGCGTATGGAAGGAGCCGTTTGGTAATCTTAGAACACTATGAAGCAGTAACAGAAATGGTCCCATAATTAGTTTCAATTACTTCAAATATCTGGGGTTCAGTTAAATTAAACATTCCCAAACGTGCTCTTTTACAGACTTTCTGCTGTGATGATGTCTTGAGTTGCTTGTATGACTTGGTAACCCATTTCATCCACCTGCTTAATAAATCAAACACAAACATACTCTCCAATTAACTGTAAGGCAATACAGACTGGAAAATACTCTGAGATACTAATCTGTGAGCTGTGTGAGCACATCTTTGCCTTGGGATTTTGGTAAGACCATTCAAATGTTTCATCTTGTTTGGTTAAGGTACATGAAGATTGAATCCTGGCTCAATGAAGCTGACAAAATTTTGACTTCACCAGGACCATGGTTTCACCAGAGTTTTCCAGTGACAGTAAGGAAAGTTAGAAAGTGTCCCAGCTGCAGAAATACTTTGCTGTCTTCAGCTTACAATACTGTGCAATTAAGTAGTGCAGCATCGTGCATTTTGCCAACAGCTGGTATGAGAGAAGGTGCCTGTGTGTATGTAAATACCTAGAAGCAAATTTAGTTGTAGCACAGAAAACTTTATAAATTGTTCAACTATGTTACTTCAACAATGATTTTTTAATTATTTCTTTTTTTTTAAAGCTCATCTTACGCAAACATTCACTCATTAATCAGTCATGTTCTGCTTAAAAACATGTTCCTTGAAAGGCTTTAAAACCAAACGTTATTCAGTGACTTCCAAGAGCTTTGTGACAGTGGAGCTGCTGCCACAAGCACTGAGAGCTGAGTAGCAGTTGGGACCATTCCTGCCTGGTCCATTTTTATCTACACATTTGCATCACCTGCTTAAGATTTTTTGATGGGTAATTCTAGATTTATTTATTTATTTTCCTTTTAAGCAGCCAATACAGTGTAGATTAATTTAGATTAATTTCCATTATTTGAAGGCAAATTGCCTGCTTTTGGCATTGAAGCTGGGTGGTACCATTTAAAACAAATATTGGTGTATTAAGATGCATAATTTTGTTCCAGGAAATCAAGTGAGGCAGAAATGGTGGTTTTGGCTTCTGAAGAATTGTTGCTCCTGGTTAATGATGAATTTGATGTGTAGTTTTAGTAAAACACAGGAATGGAAAGCTTGGTAACTGCTTTTTTGATCTTGGACATGCTGCCTTGAAGCTCCAGTGATCACCAGGTTCCTGAGCTACACGTTATGGACACTAAATGCAGGTATGTCAGCGTTGTCCTCACCTGCCTTCTGCCTCTTCTCTTAGAGATGCTCTGTGTTACATCCATTATTTCCAACTTGCCTTAAGATCTTACAGGATGCATTCTCTTCTCATTTGTGCTGGATCTTCCCTTGTCACTTGGCAAACTACAAAGGCTTCCTGGTTTCAGACAATTGTATTTCAACAATGTGTCTCCCATGATAGACTTTGACTCATTCACGTTTCAGTTAAAACAGGAACAGTGTTGCACCAAGATGTGCTCTGCCACTAGTACATACAGAGTATGTTACATCAATTTGAAATGCCAATAATTTAAAATACTTTAACAATTTCTTAGATTCTTACTGTCTTTTATTGGCACAAGCATTATCATACATTTAAAAACTGCAGATGGGATTCAGTACTGAGAGCATTAGTATTAATGCTGGAGAAATTGAAGCCAGCTTGGATTTGATCAATATTGTTTATTTCTCAAAACTGAGCTGTTTGTTAGACAAATACAACAGATTTTGTATTTTTTTCCCTCGGGTAATTATTTTTAGCACATTATATATGATAAGAATTAAAAACCTAACATTTGCTGTAAATATGGCAGCCAAGTACCTCTGCCTGCTTTAAGTAGGGAAACTGAAGCAAGAGAATTTTTCAGTATTAACCTCCTGGTTTACGCTGATTTAATAATTTTCTTGCCTTTCTCTAGTTTCTGGGCTTCTATCCATTGCTCTAATCTAGGTTGTCTCAGAATTTCATCATACACTGGGTGTTGGCTGCTTTCAAAGTCTCAGTCTACCTTCAGCATGTACAGGGGGGACACACAGCAGAGGAAAACTTCTCTTCCCTCACCCGTTTCCTCACTAACTCTTGAAAGTTGAGAAATCCAGAATTTAAAACAAACCTTAGAGAAACCACACATCACCTTTCTGGTCCCTGCATGTGACTTGCAACACTTCCACTGGACGGAATGGTAAGAGGGGCAAGCACATTTTTCATTTCCACTTATTGCGGGAAGGCAGAGGAGCTCGTGAAACAAGTTTGTGGGTTTTTCATGCAAGCAAGAGGAGAGAAGCTTTCCATAAAAAATGGGAAAAAAAGGGAAGTTACAAAAAGCAGGACAGAAGATGCACTGTACCTTAAGAAATCCTTACCTGCTGCTTCACACAAAATATAATCCGTTTTATTTTGAGCTGATGGTGTCCTGAAGGAGCATTACTCTTACCAGTACACAGAATTTTACAGCTTTATGAAGTCAGATGACTTGATCCCAAAGCTCCAGATTGCCCTGATGACTAAGTTCAGCCACAGAAGTCAAGTACAAGCTGTACAAGCTCACATATGGGCCTAAAGCCTCCCACTGGGATTCGGGTATGGGTACAGCCAGCAAGGGTATTCTCCTCCTAAAGCTTCTGCTAGACCTTTTTACTTCCAAAGAGGGAAAATTAAGAAAAAGAAAGTAAATCTCATTAGGAAAAGCATCCTGAATTTAATTGAACTGGCAAATGCAAAGCTTAAAAAAGTAATAAAAAAGATACACATCATGAAAGATAAAAGAGGAGAATAAATATAAATACAGCAACCAAATTTCAAAATGGTTATCTCTTAAAACATGTAACAACTCTCAGGAAAAATGACAGGCAATACTAATGGAGACATTGTTTAAATATTTGGTATTTTAATTTATGAAGGTACACTTTATTTCATGAAAACATGGGGTCATGCTGTAAATTTCTGGTATGAGTAGTCTCTTCCTATTGTTTCTTTGGAAAGAAAAGTGTGTGAATGTTGCTGCTTGCTTGCTTATATTGAACACAGCTGGGTCCTGTGTTCAAAGGGGGAGATGATGTAGAATGTTTTACCATGATGCTGTTCTGGGAAAATGGGAAGTTAAGTTAGATGTGTTGATTTGGACTCGACCTTTGAAAAATCTACTTTATCACACCCACTTTTGGCAACAAACAAACAGAAGCCCTTCACTGATGCTTTAGCTACTCCTGATGGGTTTTTTTGATGTGTGTTTTAAGTGTGATGTTTGCTTCCAAAGGTTTTTATTCTCATTCTGATTATGGAAACTGGTGAAGAGCCAGAGGAATCCTCCCTGCCCTGTGCAGTTCTGCTGCTTTTTGCTGGCAGGTGTATGACAGGTACCATTTCGATGCTGTCAGGAGCACAGAAAGTACACTTGTTATTTTAATAACAGGAGGACTCCTGAGATTTCAAAACCAAAATCAATTCTTCAAACGTTAACAGTGAAGGTCTTGAACTTTGCATCTTTTAGATGATGGCTCTTCCATCTTCAGGGCTTCTGAATCACTGGAGTCAGATTTGCTCTTATCCAAGACAACAGTTATACCAGAGAGCAGGTATCCTCCACCTCCGCTCATTGTCAGTTTTGGGTGGCTTCGATCTGGTAAGACCTTTAAAAAATAAAACCACCAACAAAAAAGCAATGAAAAGTCACTCGATACGTGCACATCAAATGGTGTAATTTAAGCTTACAGTATAAGATGTAATTTTTTTTCCAGGCATCAAAACAAACAGCCATTTGGGAAGTGTGTTTATCTTTGAAGGACAAAGTATCTTCATTACATTTATAGACATACATAAGAATAGAGGCTGCTTCCTTCCTGATTACTTCGTGGTGGAATTTCTAGCAAAATTATAAAGTCAAGGTTTGGGATACATGAAAGTCTCATTAATGTGTTCAGAACACGTGTACTTTCCAAGAAACTGCAGCTGTTCTAACACAACAACATTGATAAATACAGTAATTTCCAGTTCTGACACACTAATCTTTACGCAGATACTCTTAAGACATAGCAATGAACTATCACTTGCAGCCAGGTTACAATTTTCTGTGAACACTTTCTCTTCAGTGATGCTCCCTCCTTGCTTTGACTGCTGTCACAGGTGAAAACTGATTTACATGTGGCCAGAAGCTGGTGCAGTATTGTTCCTAACTGCACCGAGACATGGTAACCCTTACCAAGCCTCACTTGTGTAAACATCTTCATCTGTCCATCTCCTACTCATTCCCAGTTTGGTTGCCTGATCAATGGTCAGTGGTTGTGGCCACCCTTGAATTAAGATACCCCCTAAAGAACACCGCCTTACAGACTCCAGAAGCCTATGAGTGAAGAGAAAGTAAAATGCAAGAACCTCTTCAGAGGTGGCGAGCTGCTTAGACATCAGATGAGCTTCTGCCTCTACATAGTTGAGAGCGTACTCCACATTTGCAAATACGTTGTTGAAACACAGTTAGTGGAACTGACGTTTTTCACAGTGGAGATGTTTTCCCTCCCCTCTCAGCTTGTTTTCACTGTTCAGTTCCCAGATGGGAAAGTTCTTGTTACTTAAGTTCCAGGAAACATGTTATTTGAAGACACTGACTTAGAAAGTCACCACCATTCTCACAATTATTTTTTTTTCAACTATGAAACACACTGGAAATGAATGAACACTTGTAATTTTTTGCTACATCTCTCTTACATTACACTAGATTGTCCTTCACTTTAGGCTAAAGCAGCACAAGTATTGCATTAGTCAGGGTGCTACAAATACTTCAGCAAATGTTTAAATGAAATGCTTTGTAAGTCGAAAAAGTATTTCCATCTGAAATTGTTGCAACGAAGCATTAAAACAGTATTTTTCCCACTGCTCTCAGGTAAAACAAATGAATGTGCTTATTCATAATTTCAGTCAGTCCAAAATGCACTTATTTCCCCAGAACTCATGCAGTTTCAAAACCCACTTACTACAATCCTTACCTGGTATGCTTATTCATAATTTCAGTCAGTCCAAAATGCACTTATTTCCCCAGAACTCATGCAGTTTCAAAACCCACTTACTACAATCCTTACCTGGTATGCTTATTCATAATTTCAGTCAGTCCAAAATGCACTTATTTCCTTAAAAAATATAAAACAGTGGGTTATACAGTAGAATAAACTCAAACCTGAACTGTAACAGCTAAAGTAACATACTTGATGTACCTCTTTATACTGGCAGTAGACAACAAAAGGCCTTGAAGGAGCAACAAATTCCAATAAAGAAAGTAATAAAGGAGTGGGATGAAACTTGCTGGCTACAATTAAGCTGCAAAAGAAATTTCACAGGTTAGTTTTCTGCTTTTAAAAACTATCCATCAAGTGGTGTTTTCTCCTACTTAGCACAGTGATCAATTATAGCTTAAATGTTGCCAATCAGCATGTTTTCATGGCTCCAACAGCTCCCCAAATATAAAAGCAAATCAAGGTTTCCTACTTAATTAAGTAGGATTTAAGTAATTTCCTACCTAATTAAAAGGACAAAACAGTTGTTCCCTAAAGTGCAGTATATTAAACACACTGCAGAAACACTAATTTCAGCTGTGTTGAGCTCCACAGTAACTCTTGCAACTCAAGAATTTTCATGCTGCTTTCTCTACCCTAAGACCACTGTCCAAATAGAGTTTAAATTTTGTGACTGCTAATTGTTGCATAGAATGTAACCTCAGTTGTGATTCTTTAAATTGGGTATTCTTCATTAAATAAATTTTTATATTAAAAAGTCAGTATTTAAAGAGAAAACAATCCCTTAGTGGGCATGACTAAAAGATTTTTTAAAGAAATTAAGCCCTTGCCAACTGAAGACTTTATACTTTGTTCTTCATCCTCATTTTAGTATCACACTGTATCTCAAGTATATACATGCTTAAGATTCTCTACAAGTATCTTGAGTTTTGAATTAAAAAAAAAAAAATCACTGCTAAACTATACTGCAATAACTGGTCAAGACTCAATGAGTTAATAAGTTGTACTTGTGCAGAAGAACGAGCTAGTTAAGCAACTTGTCCAGGATACAGTTATTATATTAAAAGACCAATCCATTAATTATCACTTTTTCTCCAGGGGAACATACAGCACTGGAGACACTGTCAAACTTACCTAACAAAAGGGAGGTAAAAATGGATGTTCCATTTTCTAAACACAACAGAGATAAAGTAATTATTTTACAGTTTGCAATTTAGTTTTCTCTGCAATTTTGGCCTTGCAGGATACAGATTTAACCCAATAACTGGTCAAGACTCAATGAGTTAATAAGTTGTACTTGTGCAGAAGAACGAGTTAAGTTAAGCAACTTGTCCAGGATACAGTTATTATATTAAAAGACCAATCCATTAATTATCACTTTTTCTCCAGGGGAACATACAGCACTGGAGACACTGTCAAACTTACCTAACAAAAGGGAGGTAAAAATGGATGTTCCATTTTCTAAACACAACAGAGATAAAGTAATTATTTTACAGTTTGCAATTTAGTTTTCTCTGCAATTTTGGCCTTGCAGGATACAGATTTAACCCTAATTCCAACCTTCAAAAAATGTGTACTCAGTCATTAACTGAGTGGATCAGAAAGAAGAAAGACTCCAGGCTGTGCCTCAGAAGGTCTGGAGTGCTGCACTGCCACTGCCAGGAGCTCTGCCAGACAACAGGAAGGTGAGAGATGAGAGACTGTGAGAAACCAAATTCTCTTCTCCCATATGGCAGCACATATTGCTGCCAGCAGGTAGTCTGGCCAGTCGCAGAATTAAAGTAACGGGTGAGAGGGGAGAAGGTGGAGATAGAGGAAGGGCAGGGAGGGTTAGAGAGAGGGTGTGATCCAATTCTGAACACACGGTGTGTCTATAAACTAATTGCCACTTTTATCATAGAAATTTAATGGTCTATCTGAGAGTTGTCTTAGAAGAATACCAAATCCTCCTTTTTCGCCTTAAAGACTTAGGACAGACTGCAACTCTCCTCAATGGAATTGAACAAACAGGCCTAGTAGAAGCACTGGTTTACCACGTCAGGATTTCCATAAGATGGAAATTTTATTAAAATTGTATCTTCTACATAAAGTAGTAAATATTGTTAAATTCAGGACCTCAAGAAGTCATTATCTAAAAGTTGGTGCCCATCTTTACCTAACAACTATTTTTTCTTCCCTCTAAGTCCTAATTTTCCTCCCTACTTCTAATGCTAACCAGCTTCTTACCTATCCTTTCCCTGTTTCTCTCTTGCAAAACAAAGTAAAATCCCAATTTCCCTGCCTGCTTCTACTCACATGCCAAGTTGTTAGTTGGAATAGTTTCTTTACTCCATGCCAATTTTCCCTGGCTTAGCAATATATGTACCCTGTGGTTCTCGATCTAAACAGATGATGAACTAGAAAAGGCAGATGACTAAAGAAAGGTGATCCTGACTGGGCCATCTGGGATAGTTCCTTCAGGCAACTACACACTTCTCTTTCCCCCCTCATCGTGCTGAAGTTTTCCCAAAGCAAGAAATCACTCGTCCCTTTGAGGATATTGTTTGTTATAGCTTTCATGCATTAAGGACAAAAGTGACTGAAAACTAATGAACAAGATACAAATACTAAATACACTTTCTTGAACTCAATCAGCAACCAAACATACCATTTTACACTACAGGAAGAATCAAGGAAAGTCAAATATTAATTTTTGCTTTGCCAGACCATGCACACACTTTAATTACAATGACGGGTGCAGGACACAGCAGTAAAACCAGAACAAAACACTCCCACTGCTAAGGCAGTTTAATCCCCAGAGGTGCTACTGCTGCCAAACAGACGTGCAGTGCTTTGAACAGACCTCTTTTATTGCTTCATTGCTTTGGAGAAGGAATTACCTGTGTGCACCTTTATAGAAAAGGCTAATTCTACCACTTAAGTGTACATGAGATATAGTAAAATATGAATGAGCATGAGTTAAAACATTTCATAATAACAAAATTTATACACAAGCATTAAAACAGAACCCGTAAATGTGTATTAAAATTTATCTGAGCAGAAAAGCTTTATTCCCAGTGAGCCAATATTCTTAAGAGGGAAAAAAATGAATATGTATGTTATTAAATTAACTAAATCAAGGTTATTTGATTAACTCAAATCACTTCAGCATTTGCTAAGAACATTAATAAAAAAGTCACAACCACCAAATGCTCTTATACTATTGTGGGGCTGAATTTCTAGGAATATGCTTATCATATTGATTTTAAACTTCTAATATAATATCTTGATGTTAAATTGTTTCTTAGAAACAATTGATCCTGGCCAAATCAGGTAACATGAAGTTACATTTCTTCCTGTGTACATTTTTAATTATTTTTTTTTATGTTTACTCATAGCTAGTCAGGAAACTGACTTTTAGGTCATCAGATTTCAAAGTATTTAAATAACAGAAAAAAATGTCAACCAGGTAAGAAGCAAACAAGACCCAAGACACACCTGGACTGACTGCTTCCTTTTAAATATTCAGAAAAAAATAGGGTATTTTTAAAACAAAGCTTTTATTTGTTTCAAAGGAAATTATCTTCTGTAGGTGTGTTTTCAAATAGAAGACCTGCCTTCAAACAAACTCACCCATCAGCATTCTTCTCTCTCAACAAAGCAGCAGTTTCTATCAGCTTTTTCCTTCTCTCCCACTGTTTTCTTTGCTTTTCCCGAACCTTTGAACAACAAAACAAACAGTTTGCCCTTTAAATGGTAATTATATATTGGATCTCTATTGCATTGACTGAATTTTGATTTTTTCATCTCAGATGGCTACATGTAAGACAAACGTCAACTTCCAGAGTTCCATTTTAACACCTGAATAAGCTGTATTTCAGCATGTCTGATTCAGACAGCAGAATTTTAAGTATAGAGACATTGTAAAACTTGAATAACCAGAATAAATATTCTTACATTTTCTTTATTTTCTTTTTCTTTGTTGTCTTTAAATTCTACATCTTCAGCATTTATATCCATTGTCTCATGTTCTTCTGTTTGGTTGATCTCCATAGCTGCTTCAGTAGTAGATTCCTCTTCTGTTTCCTGTAGGGAAGTCTGCTTCTCATCAGCCAATCCATTGCTTTCTTCTCCCACTAACACACCATCTTCAGGTTCTGAGGGAAGAGTCTCTGTAGAAAATGTTCCAGAGAGGACACTATCTACTTTGCTGAGGGGAAATTCATGAAGATTATCGAAAAAAGGCTTTGGAAATCCAAAACAACTGGTAGCAGCTCTAACAGGTCCTCCTCCTGGATACATCTGAATAATGGATCCATAGCCTGTGAGAGCAAAAGAATAAAAAACACATTGGAAGGCCAGGGTTTGAAGCACACATTTAAGAATAGGTGAGTAAACTGCCTGCTCTTAATCTGTCATCAAATTTAACAGGTTGTTGCAGAATGCCTCAAGGAGGAGATACCTCAAGATGTCCTTATTGGAAGGACAACAGTTACTGCAACTCAGAAGGGCAAGGTAATTATGCATGCATTAAATACACATTTAGGATTAGCATAGAACATATAATAAGCACTGACAAATTGTTAGATAGACTAATTTAATGAAGAAAAAGACCATTTTTCTACAGTAATTGTTACTTACAACTGTGGAGTAGTTTTGATAAAAAATTAAAGCTTATTTAAACCACATTAGTAGGCAAATAATTTCTTCAGCATCCAGACTGTCCCTCTGAAGGAAGAGATGTCAAATGCTTTAACACATTAAAAAGAACTTTGCAATAGTTGTACTGAAATTGCATCTTATTTAATCTACTTCAGCAAGTATCCTTATGGTTAAAAGTTGCTGAAACAAAAACAATGCATAGTAAGTGCCTGTGGGCTTCTCAGCCAACAGACGTCACATCTGGGAGCACATTATGTCACATTTCCTACCTTTCCAGGCTTCTGGAATATAATTGTCACCTCTGGTGTCTTTGACTGGCTTACAATGAAACTTAATTCACTGAGCTTGAGAAATAAACACGTCAAACTTCTAGAATGTGATCAATAAAATGTCATATACTACTTATAAATACACACTTCACTGCTGTTAAATCTCTGGCACTAACCAAAATTAAAGATAACATTTTCAGTGCTGCAGGCTGTCTGAATTCCAGTGTTACTATTCCTGTTTTCTGCTATTCACTTCCCTGGACTTCCCAGTTGACTGGTAAGAATCTGCATACAAGCTTCTGTGTCACTTACCTCCCATGCGCTCCATCACGGCACCCAGCACAAGGCCTGCACATGTTTCCATGACAATCATCTTGTTGCCAGCACGGACATTTCCCAGAGTCAACATCTGAGCTAGGGTGTCATATCTCAAGTGGCTGAAGACAGAGGGTTTTAAGAAATACCAAATTAAGTTTTCTTACAGTTAGAAATACTGTGGATTAGCTCAGGAGGGTGTAAAATGTTGCATTACAGGTAGATCTTCAGGGTCACCACGCTGAGACTCATAATTAACCAACTGGTAATAAAGAAGCACAAGAACCAGAGCTAACAAGAAATTAGCACAGAATAGCAAAAGCAGGATATGAAGTAGTGTGCACATACTGAGGTGCACATCTCATGCTGTATCAGATTGCAAAAATAGGTTCTAAGCTTGTCAGGTTTTTTGTTTTCTCTGACATGTCAGTTTTGTAAAGAACAAATGGCATTTGAATGCATTTCCTAACCCAGTGATGGATCCCTCAGTGACTTCCATCCATTTCACAGCAGCACCCACCACCTGCAATTTAAAGCCTAACTGTACTGACTGCAGCACCTGCACTGAAGAGACTTGGTGATGGCCAAGGAATTGACAACTAATCTTAACAGGTAAATAAAGCCAGGTGAAGGAGATGGGGGGAAAGGAAAAAGGTTTGAGAAGCCTCAAATAACATAAATTTGAGGGGTTTTAGTCTCAGCATCTAGATCTACTTTTACTGCTTTAAAAACAGTAAATGGGTCTATCTTAAACACCGTCTCTAACGATGTATCATTTACAGAATCAGAATCCTCAGGCTTGGAAAAGACTTCTAAGATCACCAAGTCCAACCATTACCCAAGAAAAACCCCACCATGCCCACTACAGCATGCCCTGAAGTGCCAAACCTCCATGTTCCTTGAACATCTCCAGGGATGGTGACTCCACCACCTCCCTGGCCAGGCCGTTCCAGTGCCTGACCACTCTCTCAGTAAATAAATTGTTCCTAATATCTAGTCTAAACCTCCCCTGGTGCAACTTCAGGCCATTTCCTCTTGTCCTATAACTTTTCACTTGGGAGAAGAGGCCAATGCCCACCTCACTACAACCTCCTTTCAGGTAGTTGTAGAGAGCAATGAGGTCTCCCCTCAGCCTCCTCTTCTCCAAACTAAACAATTCCAGTTCCCTCAGCCTCTCCTCAAAGACTTGGTTCCCTAGACCCAGCTTGGTAGCTCTTCTCTGGACATGCTCCAGCACCTCAGTGTCCTTCTTGTAGTGAGGGACCCAGAACTGGACACAATATTTGAGGTGCAGCCTCACCAGTGCCGAGTGAAACTCAAAGTCAGCTAGCACTTCTTTGAAGAAAGAAACTAAATGAAAACTTACTTTATTTTTCCAGGTTCCCTTGCATAATACATTGTTGAAAGAATGCGAGTGGATGGTTTTACAATCGTAATAACTGCCTCATATCTGTAAGAAACACATAGTCATAGTCTTATCTTCACCAATGAGAGAACTACTAAGTATTTTGCACATTTAAAAATTCACTTACTTTTTTTTCTTCTTCTTTATGTATTTATCTTGAGCAAACTCTGTTTTGTCTCTGAATGTTGTACTGTTCTCTATTAACTGTTGAACTATTTCCTTGGAAGAAACAATTTATTTTTATTATAACTGGTATGTATATCTCATTCATTTAATATATAGTATTTTTTAAAACAAACACTGAAAATATTTGCTTCCAGTAGAGGCCTGTATAACATTAACTTCAACTAACATCAATGGCAAAGTAAATTTCTATTAATCAACATGACAAGCGAGGTGCTACCCTAACTATGTGCAGGAATTTGATCACATACTGTTGCCTCTAGGTGATCTTTATCTACATAACACCAGTGAAAAATGATAAAGCTGAGAATGCTTATCCTGGAAAAGGGGTATTTGGTGTAGAGGTAGTCTAGTAGATGCCAGGACTATCTCATGAGAGAGGGCAGACTCTACTGGAGAAATGAATAAAGGGCAGGATTGTTCCACTCAGTACCAGGAAGTCATTGATTCCTGTCTTACTATGAAGCCTCGGTACCTATATATTCTTAGCCCATGTCAAATGTGAATGAGAATACCCTGCTTTCTCTAAGTGATAAGCTATTTTTCATTTAATTTATTTAGAATGAGGCAGAGTTATGTTTCTTGGCAGTTACTATGGACCAACTGACACATGCTCTGTCAGTTTAACATGCCCCATTGGAACTGGACTGCATGACAGTACCCTAAGTCCTGTGTGAAGCTATACAGGCAAAAATCTTTTACAAAAACAAAACAAGGAACCTGATGTCACCTGATGTCCCTCTTTGGGTCTCTTATCTGACTCTATATATAAGGGTATCTGTTTTCCAGACTCTCCTAGTTCTTCCTCTATACTTTGACTATTTATCAGACATCTCCCCTACCCACTTATTTTATTCTGCTTTCCAAATTGTGCTAGACTTCTGTACCAGCTCCTTGCACATTGTCAAACTCCTTAGCATTTACTATTTCCTGCAATACTGTCTCTGACTTCCTCCTTCTCTAGCTCCTAGTTCTTCCCAGAATTCCTAGTTTTATTTCCTGATCTCCTTGTCCTAATCTCTCCCCTTCGGCAATCCCAACTCTTCTTACTCATACTTTCGGGTTCAAGCTGAAGCGACCATTAAGACCTTCAATGGAAAAAAGCTTTCCTTTCTCAGGGTTTGCCCCTGTGCCCGCAATACAACAACAATTGCTGCATAGTTCTGTTTTGGCTGTTGTGATCAAAGTAGTTTAACTGCTAAAATCTAAAGTCTCTATTAAACATGTAGGAAGAGCAGTAGTATAACCTGGCCTCACAGGAGTTTGGAGAGGGTGGTGGTGGGGAATGACAAAATGAGTATTTTTAATGTGGACACTGCATCTCCCATTGTTCTTTATGAGCATGTTCCAAAACTCACTTGCTGTTGCTGCTTTTCAAGCCATTATTTCATTAAGCCCCTCAAATACTTAAAATGTACTATTAGTGGTATCAAACAGCATATCTTTCTTTTTTTGCCTTATTCTCAGAAAAAAATTAATGCAGTGTCTATGTTGTTTGATTTGTTGGTTTTTTTGTGGTTTTTTTTCCAGTAAACTTTATATTGTGGAAAGGGCAAAAGCCAAAGGGAAGCTGTGGCACTATGCAATGCCCTGGGAGTACAGGCCACTTCATGTGTTCATCCCAACACCTCTCATTCCTCGAGCCAGGGAAGGATTTGGAAAGCAATGGGAAATCAAACCCCATTAACAGTGAAGTTGCTTTATTTCAAAGGACAAACACAGCCTATGCCGCAAAGACATGCCACTCACAAACTGGAGTTCAGATTTCACCAGACATTTATGGAAGAATAATAATATCTACAGCTGTGAATACAACAGAGCCTAAAATGAGTATTCAGCTACAGCTCAGAAGGCAAAGTTCACAAATAAGATGTTTTAATAACCTAAATTAACAGTATGATAGATGTATGGCACAGACATGCTGCTGACATACAGAAAAGCCAAAGTGATCTTCTGCCACGAATAAACAGAACAAACAGACAATATCAAAGCTGTCAGACTGATTAGTACATTCTTTTCAAAGAGGTAACATCACAAGCAACACAAGCAAACAGAAGAAACACCAGTCTAAACTTCTTGGACCCAGGCATTATTACGCAGGCAAAAGCAGAACAGCTGCTCTGAAGAGGAGCAGCAACCAGCAAGATGCAAAGAGGAGATGAACTTGATGTAAGCATAAGCCGTCTTATTTTTATTAGAAAGGGTAAATCAAAATGAGGGAATTTTGAGTGGTAACATGTACAGAACAGAACTGGCTGCAATGGTTTATTTACATGTAAGACAGCCTCACTTCTTGTTGACAAACTGTGGGGTAAAATCCAATCCCTTTCCTAACAGAATGGAACTGATCTCCTGAGAATATTCTTAGCTTTTAGGGTGCAGGTAAAACACAGACATCACATGTGTTCAGTAGGTACCACCTAGAGGCAAATTGACAGCCCATCTGTTACACAGTGTTATTTGTGAATACTTGGGTGTTTATCCATGATCCTTTCCGATGCCTTTAATAGTTTAATTATTGCATTATTTTAATATGTCTGTAGTATAGAAATAACATTTTTAGTCTTATAAAGAAAATAAAACTAAAAGGTGATGATGTGAACTGTATTTCCTTAAAGGTTTTAATATTTTTTTGTCTGTTAGGACTTTTGATGTCATAAAAATGCATACTTCACTCTCTATTGACAAATCTGCCAACCTTACATGAAATTTTCTCTGAAAATAGCCTTTGTCTTTTTGTAAGAACAGATCTTTAGAAAAAACATTACTTGAGCAGAAGAACAAAGAAAAAGCACTGAATTCTATGCATAGATAAAAAGAGCAGCCTATTTTGTAAACTAAAATATAACCACCAAGGTAGCACAGAAATTACACCAAAACCTTATTTTTACCTGTCCTTTAATACCCTTGTCCTTCAAAGCCTTTATGTCATCATGAGTCAGTTTTTGAGACTTTCCATCGTCAACTATGTTACGATTATCTGTACCTGCTTCTTTTGTTTCTAAAGGAAAAGGATATAGATTTGTAAAATCTAGCTCTGAGTATCTTTAAGTTGGAGAAACACACAATTTTAGTTTCACAGAAAGACTTCTCAGGATTAAACCCACATGCTTCACAGCCTTACAAACTATTGCCTAAGCAATCAATCAAATGTAGTATGTAAAACACACCTTAGTATATATGTTCACCCAAACTAAGGTTAAAATTTTCTCCCATATTAAAAAGCTTATTTGTTACAGAACTAGTGAAACAGCAGATCAAGATGAAACCATGCACTTTTATGACAGAAGTAATGTAAGTAGTGTTAATATATAATTAATAGAAAGCTTTTCCAATACCTTTGGTATTATCAAAAGAACAAATTAATTGGAAAAAATCTGTCCAAACACCAGTCAATCCCCAGTAATACCTGTGGTAGTCTCTTCCACTTCTTGCTTGGGCTGGAGGTTTCCACCGCTGGTTACCTCAAATGTAGTTCCATAAATATGTCCAATAGCATTATCCAGATAGAACCACTGCTTCTCAAAAATAATTTTTCTGAAACAATAAAGAAGTTAATGATATTAAAAGCATTATTTTTACTGTGTCTGAAACCCAAAACAGTTGAAAGTAAACTATAGCTTCATACATGCCATTTTTATCTACATTCTTAAAGAAAAACATAAAAAGTGAACTTAACCACAACAAACACATTAAACCAAAACTGGTTAGGAAAAGAACAAAGAACTTAGACTGAGCATACAGTAAGAAATACAATTATTTCTTTTCAGCTCAAAAATATTCTAAAATGACAGATAAAACAAGGCTAAAGCACTTGAATTACATAGTACCAATCTTGACGGAGAAAGTCAGAACAAGGCAAGGAATGAAAGTAATCTGAAGTGCATTAAATGTAAGCTGGGTCATGCACATTAGTGCAAAAAGATGGGCATGAACCTGCATTTTGAGGAGCTCCTTTGAAATAACATTTGCCAAAACACTGTGAAGAAAACAGACAGCACAGAATGTGCTAGTGTAATCCTAGAAATGTTTAATAAAAAATAATAAAAAGGGGGTATTTTATTATCCCTTCCATTTTGATTGCACTGAGGGAGGTTTGCATTTTGCTTTCTTCACACAAAAAAAGGATCCACAGAGCCTGTAACTTTCAGGCCGAACTACAAAGGTTTCCCTGCTGA